GCTGTCCGGCTGTGGGGTCATCCCTGGGGACAGCCGGGTCACCCTGGGGCCGGATCCTGCCCGCTGGCCCTGGCAAGTCTGCGGATGCGGACAGCGCTGAGGCGATGCAATCCCGCGGGGTCGGAGCATCCCTAGGCACCCAAGGAGGGGGTTAGCACCCCATTTTGGGGAGCTGCCGGCCCTGGCACCCAGCAGCCGCGGGCCCTGCTCCTCCCCGCTGCAGGCAGGAAGTGCCGGCCGGCTGCCGCGGACTTTGGACCCATCCGGCGTCGCCGGCGCAGGGGTAGAGGAAGGGACTTTTCCTGTTTGCCGGCGCGGTGGGGTCTGGCACCCATCTGCCGCCACGGCTGAGCTCCGGCAAAACTTGGCCTTGCCTTGGCGCGGCCGCTAGCTGCCCCCCACGCTGGCGTGGGGACTCTCCGGTGGCTGATACAGGGTTGTGCTCAGGCCACAGCCTTCGGGGGCTGGGTGAGTTTTGTGCGTGCCGCCGGGTGCTTTTGCAGCGAAAGAGTTGTCTCTCTTGGGGGGGGGGGCAGCACCCATTTTGGGGGTGAACCCCCCTTTCCACACCCCCCTTGGCTATCCCGGCCGTGGCCGTGGGGGTTTGGGGTAGAGTCCCACCAGCCAGGCAGAGCCCCCATTTATTTTTCCCCCATCTGCTTTTCGAGCTGGAGCGGAAGAGCTCAACCTCCGGCCCCTTTTCGGAAAGGCTGGGATATTTATAGCCACCTGGCTCAGGGAGTTGGGATTTGCCATGGCCGCCTCCGTCCCCCCCATCCTGCCGCAGCATCCCTCAGCTGCGTCCTGCACTGGGGTGGGGGCCGGGGCCGGATCCTGCCCTGGCCATGGGTACAACTCTTCCGGGTGGCTGTGCGATACCTGGGGGTCCCCTGGGAATCTCTGTGCGATGCCCAGGGTCCCTCGGGGGTCTCTGATGCCCAGGTGTCCCCTGGGGGTCTCTGTGCGATGCCCGGGGTCCCTGGGGGGTCTCTGTTTGATGTCCAGGGTCCCTTGGGTTGTCTGTGTGATGTCCGGGGTCCCTTGGGGGTCTTTGTGTGATGCCCAGGTGTCCCCTGGGGGTCTCTGTGTGATGCCTGGGGTCTCTGATGCCCGGGGTCCCTCGGGGGTCTCTGTGTGATGCCTGGGGTCCCTGGGGGTCTCTGTGCGATGTCCAGGTGTTCCCTGGGGGTCTCAGGCTCCGTTTGGTTGATGGGAAGTGGATTTAGGATTGATTTGGGAGTCAGGACTGCAGGCATCACCCCCTTCCCTTCAAACCCGCAGCTGTCTGCTCCTCTCCGTGCTGTGCCTCAGTTTCCCCAATCTGATGCATCACCCGGGTGGCAGTGGGGGGGTAGCCCCAGGACGGGGAGTGGGGCTGATCCTGCACCCCAACATCCCCAATCCATCTGTCCCCTTCCCGCCATCGTCTGATATGTCCCTGCACCCAGGGACAAACCCTTCCTGACCGTGACGCACCCCTTCCCCGGCTCTGCCTCCCCCCAGGTGCATCCCCACCCAGCTCGGCCACCTCAACCAAGTCCCCCCACCCATCCCCATGGAGTGACCCTGTGTGAGGGTCTCTGCACCGGCGCGGCCCCCCCGGCAGCCAGCCCGGCAGGGAGGGAAGCTGGACGCCACCGCGAATATGAGCGACTTCTGGCACAAGCTGGGCTGCTGCGTCGTAGAGAAGCCACAGCCCGTGAGTAGCTTCAGCCTGGCCGGCTGGGGGAGGGTTTGGGGTCCTGGGGTCGTGCGCTCAGCGGGGCCTGACGGCCTTCATCCGCTTGCAGAAGAAGAGGAGGAGACGGATTGACCGCTCCATGATTGGGGAGCCCATGAACTTCGTCCACCTGACACACATCGGCTCTGGCGACATGGCCGCGGGCGAAGGCCTGCCCATGGTACCCTACCCAAACGCACGGGTGATGGGTGTCATTGTTGGGGTGGTGGGTCTCATGGTTGGGTGGTGGGTGTCAATGTTGGGGTGGTAGGTCTCATGGTTGGGTGATGGGCGTGACTGTTGGGGTGGTGAGTCTCATGGTTGGCTGATGGGTTTCACTGTTGGGGTGGTAGAGTCTCATGATTGGGTGGTGGATCTCATGGTTGGGTGGCGGGCATCGCTGTTGGGGTGGTAGAGTCTCATGGTTGGGTGACTGGTCTCAGGGTGGGGTGAAGCGGCCTTACGTTTGGGTGATGGGTCTTATGCTTGGGCGATGGGGTGGCACAGTTGGGTGATGGGTCTCACAGCAGTGATGTCACATCTCTGCACCCTCCCCGCAGACCGGTGCTGTCCAGGAGATGAGGTCCAAGGGCGGTCGGGAGCGACAGTGGAGCAGCTCCCGGGTCTTGTAGCGTGTGAGTATACGGCTGTGGGGGTGGCTGTGGCAGCCCTGAGCACCCGCTGTCCCCCTCCGAGGCACCACTGCTAATTCACACACCCAAACGAGCCACCGCTTGTGCGGTTCCGTAACCCGGCCTCTTGGACTTTGCAGATTCCCGGCTTTTTCAGCCCAAACTTGAACTGCCTGATCCCCCAACTGGAGGAGAAGCCAACCTCGAGCGCTTTAACCCCGCGGTAATTTATGCAGAGTGATCCTCGCCCGGCTCCCGGTGGCTTTTGGTCATCGTCCCCCTGGCAAATCCCTCCTTCCCAGAGGCATCGGGTCGGTGACGCGGAGAGGGAGCAGGGACGGCAGCCCCCACCTCGTGCCCGACCGGGATTTCAGCCAAAAGGACACAGCCACCTTCCCGAAGCGCGCCAGGAGCTGCCGGGCACAGCCAAGATGTGCCAAATCCTCCCAGTTTTACCTTTTTCCATGCCGACATCTCCCATGGGCCCCTCTTGGTGCTGGGCTGCAGTGCCTCGGTTTCCCCGGGGGATCGTGGTGAGGCCAGTCCTGGTGCGGAGGCTGATTTGGTGCCCTCCCGGAAAGGCGTAGAAGAGCAAAACCGGGATTAAACCCCGACGCTTCAGTGTCCCACCGGCAGTGGCTCAGCGCCGTCACCATCAACACGCCCGCAGTGCCTCCCCCCCCCCCCCCCCCCCCCGCCGGCAAACTGCCACCTTCCTTCTTTTTTAGGATATATATTTTTTTTTAAGCTCAAAAAAACAACTAGGCAGCCTCCGCCACCTCGGAGGCAGGACCGTGGTGGGGTCACCTCCGCCCGGGATTGCCACCAGGGTTTCACCAGCACCGGCCGAGGCAGGACGGGGCCTGACCTGAGGAGGGACTCGGGCTCCCGAATTTGGGCGCGGGTGTATATAGTTTAAGTAGCGCCGGGATTAAATATTAAATAGCACGTGCTGGGCATCACGGCTGGGCAGCAGAGGCTTTCCCCTTCGCCATGCTCCACGCCATGCCAGGACGCTCCTGTGCGGAGCTGGGCTTTTCTAGCCCCGTGGCGCGCTCGACGTTGGTAAGCAAGTGCCGATGCTTGATTCGGTTTTCCCTCTCCTGGGAAAAACAACCCACCCTTGAAATAAAACCCTTGTGCTGGCCCGAGGAGCGCGTCCGCGAGCTGCCCGGGGCTCCTCGCCTCCCTCCTCTGCTACCGGGGCTGCCAAATTTGCCAGGAAAAGCAAAGCCCCAAACACATGCTGGGCACCGCACTCCCGTCCACATCCTTTATTCACCCGTGGGTGCTCGGGGACCACTTTGGGCCTGCCGAGAGCCCCTGATGCCACCACTTGTCCCTGTGTGTCCCCGTCACCGCGTCACGTCCCGGCTGCCATCCCAGCTTGGCTCCAGCCTGCGGGGAGAGAAAAGCATCCGTGGCCGGCAGCCCGTGAACCGCCCCCCCCAACCCCCTGCCCTGCGGAGGGGACTCACCGCCGGACGGGCTCGGGGACGTGCGCTGGCTCCACAGGGACGAGCTGGGAGAGCTCCCGCAGGCTGGCGGCGAACCGGACCTTGCCGCTGAAGGTGGGGCTGGGGGAGATGGGGGGGGACTGAGACCCTCCAGCTCATTACACCCTTGTGCGACGGGGCTGGTTCACCAGGAGCTGGCACGGGAAGCCCCGGGGAGGAGGCGAATGTCCCCGTGCAAGGCCTCGCACGCGTGGGTGCGAGCAACCCTACCTGAGAAAGGGCCGGGAGAGCATCACGAGTGCCTTGATGTACCAGGTGGGGTGGACGATAATCACAGCCTGGAGACTCTTCCGGAGCCTGGGAAGGACCGGGATGCTCCAGGGCTCTCTGCCAGCCTGGCACGCTTGCTGCCACCCCCCCGCCGGCACGCTCACCGGGAGCCCTTGCGTGCTCACCACCGATCCATAGCCCGGTAGCACCGTTTCATCCAGCTGAAGGAGGGGATCTGCCCCCGCGCTGCTGCCCCGCTCAGGCACACCAGGACGTAGCGGTCGGCCACCATCCTCTCCAGGGTGCCCACGATGTACCTGGAGGGACGGCGCGGCCCGTCAGCTTGGGGAAACTGAGGCACAGGGTGCGTGGGAAGGATCCCGGCCCGCCCCGGGGTCCCCACCTGAGCAGGTTCTCCATCACGTAGCCATACCGGGGGATGCTGCTGTCCGGGAGGTGGCAGGCGGCAAAGAGCAGGATGGTGCCGAAGCCCTCGCCGTGGTACCCTGGCCGGAGCGGAGGGTGGCACAGCCAGCACCTATCGTCCCCCTCCCAGACCCAGCGGGCTCAGGGAGGGGACCCAGGAGTCCCACCCCGGGCACCTGGCTCCGCGTTACCCCCGTGGGAGAGGACCCGGCTGTAGGGCTCCACCGCGCTCAGATCCACGCTCTCCTCCGGCCGCTCGTCCTCCGTGTCCGGCACCCGCCGGCTGCCAGCCCCCTCGGCGAAGCCCCAGGTGTGCGGCAGCTCCTCTGCGGGCAGTCGGTTAGTGCGGCACTGGGGGGCAGGAACCTGGGGGTCCCCTGTGCCCCCACCCTGGCCGGGTCTCACCCTCCCACTCGAAGCCGTCGCTGCCCGAGGGCGTCTCCAGCGCATCCAGGTCGAGGTCGATGCTGGCGTCGGGCGAGCGCTCGGCGCTCTCGGTCTGCCCCAGCGCCGGCAGCCGCCTCCGCATGCGCCGTGGGGCACCCCCAGCCCCCGGGCACTCCTCCGGCAGGGGCCTGACGGGGACAGGGCGAGGGGGTCAGCAGGACCCCAGGGGGCAGAGTGGGTTTGGGGGTACCGCTCCCATTGCCCCCTTACCCGGGGAAGTCCTCGTCCTGCCACTCCTCATGCAGGTCCAGGCCGTCCCTGGTGGCTGTCACCGCCGCCATCCCCGCCACCTGCAGCGAGAG